TTTTTTTTTTTTCTTTCTGAAGCACGGCTTTTCGACGCCGGGATTTTGCGCGCCGACCCGTCCTTGCTGCGCGGCCTTGACACTACTTCGAACGATGCTCATCTCGTACGCTTTCCTTTTTCGAGCACCAAGTATGTCGCGTAACTGGATTCAGCACGAAAAAGAATTCCTCCGATCCGGACGGTTATATGACTCATTCGAGTCTCGAAGAATAAATAAACACGCGTGGTTTCTCGGCGCGCTTTCGATCAATCGATCGCAAAATTATTCCGGAGCGTTTCTTTGACTAATGGAAGTTGGTCATTGTCGTAAAAAAAAAAAATATATATGCGAGATTGTATGCGCAAGACACATATATCTAAGACAAAAAACGCGCGCATGAAATATGACGGTACGCCATATGGCAATTAAGCTGGGACATGATAAGGGACAGCGAGCAAATATTTGCAGGGTGACGTCTTTCTTCTCTGGCAACCGATTATATGTGTATAGAACTGTTTTGCCTTATCGATGTCGTAGGCGTAGATTTACGAAAATTAAAATGTGAAGCACGAACGAATTATTTGCCTAGCGTAAGCTTCGATAAATCTATGGAGATCTTAACTGCTGATTGCATTAACAGTAAAATATTACCGACGAAATAAAGAAATTGTACAGATAACAAACAGATTGTAGCTTTCAAGATTGTAGCTGATAAAATTAAAAAGCATAAATTTAAATGGAAATAGTAAACTGTTGCACGACTAACAGGATCATAGAGAAATTTTAACAGAAGCAGCTCGCACGTCTTTTTGCTTTTTGAAATGATTGTCTGACGTGTTTCTTTTCTGACGATTAAAGATATGTGTACGTCTGTCTTTAATTTGTCAAGAAGGTTAGATTTCTATTAAAACACTGCGATGGTCAAAGAGCACGTGCGGTCCGGCGCAAAAGAGTTGGGGCGCTTAACTTTAAGCCGGCGCTAATGAGATTGGAACACGGCGGAAATTTTGTATAACGAACCGAAGAAGCTTTTGGTCTTTGAATCAAAGTCTACCTACTTTTCAAATTTACAAAGGCCACGGCCCCTTTCGATGAAATAAATTCACGGCAGAATATTACAGAGAGAAACTTCTCAAAATTTCGCGAGCTCTTATTAGCGCCGGTCGTACTAAGTACAACGAACAAACTGTTTTGCGTTTTCCAATCTTCCTGTCATGTTTTTTAAGGCGCATTATTTTTTTTTAATAAAAGACGCAGAGATACACGCGAGATATCGGGACGCATGCGTGCGGGGGATTTAGAACGCGATACGGCAACCATGACAATATCTTTATGTGTCATTAACTTATCCATCGTAATCTGGAGACATGGAAAGAAATCGTTCACGAGCGATTCCGAATCAGCCATATGGCGGGTTTCTGCTACGGGCTTATCGAAAGATAAGTCGATGCTATTAAACCACCCCAGCGGATCCCGCGCACCTGTCCTTCGCACGCCACGTAACATGTCGAGTCCGGTGGGATTTTTACTCCGTTCTGCGGATACACCGGCGGAGTCTTTTATCGAACAAAGGCTCGCCTTTTAACCGGGTGTACGGTAAACCGAGATAGGAGATAGTGAATTTAAATGTCCTCGAATATAACAGACGGGACGCGCGCACTGGGCGGACAAAGCCGGGAGATCGTCTCGACGAGTCCTATCCGCTCGAAATTTTCGTCACTTGGCAATCCTGGAATGTCCTTTTTTTATTATCCTATGTCGACAAGTCCTTTTGAAGTGCGCATTATACTTTATCGTTAAGAAATCTGCTAACGCAAGCGAGTAACGTACGATATTTTGAAAAGTTCTTACACCGAATAATCGCAAATTAATAACAAGATAGCGCGATAATCGGATGGAATAAAAATTTTCTTATTATTTTCCGGTAGATAGATTTGAATTCCGTTTTACAAAAGTAAAACATCGTACATCGTTCTTTAGAATAAAAATGATAAATATATAAATTCAGCTTTTATTCTCAATTTTCGTGAGATATTGCATTATACTTACAACGACGAATATACATATGTATGTCAAGTTTTTTTTCAACTTATTACACAATTGTTACATATTAACTGCCTGCTTATTTTCTCAAGATACAGTCTTCAGATTTGAGAAAATGATAAATTATTAAAAGATTGTTATTGTATAAAAAATATTTCTATCCAGAAAACTTATTCATTCTAGTAATCTTTGCCCTTTCGGCCCAAAATCTTCTCACGTTGTGCCATCAATTCCGCTTCTGTAATTTGGACTTGACATCTATTTGCATAACGATGACATTTTATATTTTCACAGCAGTTTGAGTCGCTAACACACTGCAATTTAATAAATAATATGTTATTTATTATGTCCATTTAATTTAAAATAAAATGATGAAAAAATGTTAACAACTCTATAAATTTGAATATAAAAAAATAACAATCAGTTATCAAATCAGTTTTAAGAAAATATTTACATGAAGAAAAGATATACATTGAATTTCTAATAAATAATGGCGTTGTACAATCAGCGAGCAAGTTTCTTGTGAAAAAAACAAGTGAGATATGTGAGATAGAATAAAATATTTTCACTAATATAAAATATTTATTTATCATATTATTATTTTTTATTTACTTTTTCACGAGGAATTATCTGCTTGCCAATTGTATTAAAATTTATTAGACATTTTGTATAACAATACAAATTAAAAATATGCGTAATTGAGACAATGTATAAAAACTGAAAATAGATGAACTTTGAAGATGCATATAAAAATACGTTTTACATTCTGAAATGGATTCAATACTACTACATACTATTGTTGAATCATATGTATTTTTTTCTAAATTAGATCAAAAAGATCTCTAGTTTATTAATTTTACACATTTAAATTTTTTCAACAGTATGAATCGTTTAGCATTGTAAGACCACAACAAGATAGCAAAATCATTAAACAAGTTTAAAGCACTTTCTTCCACGTTAATAATACTGCGTATTTTATTTTATAAAAAAATAAGAGTAATATAAAAAAATGGCTTTATCAGAAAAGAGAAAGATAATATGCGTGAATACTTATACTAACAGGGTCACCATGTCGACCGCACGACTTCGTATCGGCCATGATAAGAGACGCGGCTAGCAACGCTATAAAGACGTACAGTATTAATTTTGCCATCTTCTCGCACGTTGAATTCTGCAATCAAACAGTTTTAACAAATTAGCTTTATATATGAAAGCAATAAGAAAGAATGAATAATGTAATTTTAAAGATATGATATAGCATCTATCCAAAATAACTTAAATAATTTTTAATTACTTATTTATATTTTAGTTATAATATGAAGAATGTCCCGTTTATCGTTCTATGTTCTTGTAAATAATATCCAATTTTAATTGACGTCTAATTTATGCATGACGCGTTCAGACTATTCACGAAACCAAACTTACATAATACATCCATTCTAAGTCGACCGTGAGTTTTATACTAGCGACAGGTTATATACGCGAATGAATCACCAAGGTCTGATTCAATTAGTTCTTTAATAGGCAAAATAACTACTGAACTCTAGAATCATGTCTTACAATTTACGTCGTTATGATTACAAATATGTTTCTGATATGCTGTTGACTACAAAACAATACAATCTTTTTAATTACGAATAAATATAGCGCATATTACATGTACTGTAATATCATCTAACAGCGTAGCAACATTAGAGAAATCATGAAAAATGTTGTTTATTACAATTAAAATTTATAATGTTAATCTATATTTAATCACAAAAATGTAAATTTTGTATATATATATAATTTTTTGAACTTTCAATTTTATAAATTAATAATTTAAAATGCTTTTAATTTGTATTTTAAAATGCAATTTTCTCTTAATCACTTAAGTGACAACAAATAAAATCTGAAAATTTATAATTGTAAATAGTTATAAATGAAAGCATAATAATATTCTTGTATTATGTATAATATGTATTTAGTATAAATACATTGATTAAACGATAATTCAGGCTTTTAAATATATCGACAATATTATAAGTAAAGGTACAATATATTATTGACATTTTTTAAATTTAATGTTTATCTTCTGATAACTATTTAATAAACAATTTCTATCAGTCTTTTTTTAATAATTATCAATCATATTATAAACAAATTTATTATTTTATCTAAACATTTTCAATATTTTCGATAATTTTATTTCTTAGATTTTGTAAAAAAATATTCAATATTATGACAAATTTTAAACTAGACGAACGAATGACAATTCGTGTTGATCAACACTTACCAGCTGCTTTAACAAAAATTCTTCGGATCTGACTGTCTCGAGAGCTCGACCTCGACTGATTTCTTGGTTTATAACGGTCTAAGCATTTATACGTCTGTGACTCACACAAGTAAGTTTGTATGATATAGGTAAACACATACATATTTGACGACGCATAACCAATTAGAAAGAAATCTTTATATGTTTTCACATACAACTGTCTATAATTACATTTTTACATATTGTTTTATATATATATATGTGTGTGTGTGTGTGTGTGTGT